CCCAATTTCTCTCCCTTACCTTTACAGTTGAGAGAGCAATGGCTCCATAGTATAAGCATTAGACTGTGAACCACATAGTCAGTGGTTTGAGCTTACCAGCTGCTCCCATAAAGATTTACAGCCTCAGGTACGCTGTACGGTGTCACTCTGAGTTGGAACTGACTTGACAGCACTTAACAACCACCACCTTTATAGCCAAATAGCTAGAGGGATTGCCTACCTTCCTTAGTTCCATTCCCCTCTTCCCGTTAGCTTCTCAACCCATGCCAATCTGGCTGAGCCATCAAAACCACTTTCACCTCTCCAGAGTTGCTATCTGTGGTCACCAATTCTCAGTACTCCTCTTGTTCTACCTAAAAATGACATCACCTTCCACCCCCCGAAGTCCTCACCCTTTGGAGTCCACCCAGCCCACAATAATGTTTATCTCCTGTCTCTCTGCTGTTCTATACTGTTTGCAAATTCATCCTCATCTATCTTGACCATTATATGTGGAGCACTTAAAAATTCAGTTCTTGTAACCTTCACCATCTTGTTCATATCATCCTTGGTTTTAATTCTTGAAATGCTGAAGACACCATCCCCTTTGTATAACATGCTGAGTGAAGCCCTCCACCCACTAAAACCTCAAAACTGTACTGGTCACTTCCATTCTCACCCAGATGAGGAGTATGTTTACTCAGAGGCTTCTACTAAATACCCAAGCCCATCCCCACGGTACTGTCTCTCCTCCCCTTTGAACCTGATTTCTTCCAGTGTTCTAAAATCCAGGAGTCATTCTGGACATATCCTCACCCTGACCCTAATCCACCGGGTCTCCTAAATCTCTCTCAAATCCATAAACTTCACTCATTTCTACTGTCACCACCCTAGGCCAAGCTACCATGAGTGTTCTTTAGACTACTTTAGTAGCTTTCTACTTGGTCTCTCAGCTTCCATTCTGATACTTTCTCATCTTTTCTCCACACAGCAGCCAAAGTGAGAGATTTCAAATTAAAATCAGACCATGTCATTGCCACCACTTCCTCCTCACCCCTTAATAACCTTCAATAACGTGCAACTAAATTATTAACTCAGCCCACAAGGCCATCTATGGCTTGGCCCCCCATCCACCTAGCACTCCAGTCACATTTTATCAACTCAGAAACACCAGCTTGGTCACAATTCTTCAAACAGGCCAACCACCTCATTACTGTTGTTGTGAAGTGCTGTTGAGTCAGTTCCGACCCAGTATGGGGTTTCCAAGGAGCAGATGGTGAGCTTGAACCGCCAACCTTGCAGTTCAAACAGCTTTGCAGTCTGGTGCATTAACCCACAGCACCACACCAGGACTCCAACCTCTTGACTACTCAGGGCTTTTCTGTCTTGAGAACACTCTTTCCCCTTTCCTTAGCCCAGTTATCTCCTAACTGTCAGATCAAAAAGCATTCTCTAAACCACAGAATCTGATTACCATCACCCACATCCAGTCAGGGTAAGATTCTCTTGTTATATGTTCTCAGAGAACTACATTTATGTTCTTTATTACACATACCTCTGCTCATCATTTCACATTCATGAGCCAAACCAGACACTAAACTACAAAGCCTGTTTTACATGGCCCAAAATGTGAAGAATGATTTTAACATTTTTAAAGAGTTGTTGTTAGGTGCCATTGGGTCAGTTCCAACCCTATGTACAACAGAATGAAACACCACCCAGTCCTGTGTCATCCTCACAATTGCTGCTACACTTGAGAGCATTGTTGCTACTATTGGGCCAATCCATGTCATTGGAAGTCTCCCTTTTTTCAATGTCCCTCCACTCTACCAAGCATAATGTCCTTCTCCAGGGACTGGTCCTTCCTGATAATATGTCCAAAGTATGAGAGATTAAGTCTGGCCATTTAAACTTCTAAGGAGCATTCTGGTTGTATTTCTTCTAACACAGATTTGTTTGTTTTTCTAGTAGTCCACGGTACTTTCAATATTATTCTCCAACACCACAACTCAAATGCATCAACTCTTCTATGGTCTTCCTTATTCACTGTCCAACTTTCACATGCATATGAGGATTTTGAAAATACCATGGCTTGGGTCAGGCACACTTTAGTCCTCAAACTGACATCTTTGTAGCTGAACACTTTAAAGAAGTCTTGTACAAAAGATCTGCCTAAGGCAATACATTATTTGATTTCTTGACTGCTACGGATCTAAGCAAATTAAAATCTTGTGACAACTTCAATCTTTTCTCCATTTATCATGATGTTATTTATTAGACCAGTGGTGAGGATTTTTGTTTTCTTTACATTGAAGGTGCAACCAATACCTAAGGTTGTGGCCTTTGATCTTCATCAGTAAATATTTTAAGTACTCTTCACTTACGCCAAGCAAGGGTGTATCATCACACCCTGTTTATGAGTCGTCCTCCAATCCTGATACCATGTTCTTCTTCATATAATCTAGCTTCTCAAATTATCTGCTCAGCATACAGAATGATTAAGTATGGTGAAAGAATACAACCCTGGCACATACCTTTCCCGATTTTAAACCATTCAGTGTTCCTTCTTCTGTTTGAACAACTGCCTCTTATTGTCATTGTACAGGTTTTTCATGAGCACAATTAAGTGTTCCAGATGCTCATTCTCCAGTCTTGTGCATAACTTGTCATGATTCACACAGTCAAAAGTCCTGCATACTCATTCAAGTACACGTAAACCTCTTTCTGGTATTCTCCACATTCTGCCAAGATCCATCTGACATCAGCAATAACATTCCTCATTCCACATCCTTGTCTAAATCCGGCTTGAGCCTCAGGCAGTTCTATCCCTGTACTGTTGCAACCATTTTTTTAATTACCTTTAACAAAATTTTACTTACATGTGATATTAATGATATTGTATGATGATTTATGCATTTCACTGGGTCACCTCTATTTGGAATGGGCACAAATATGGATTTCTTCCAATCAACTGGCCAGGAAGCTGTCTTCCAAATTTCTTGGCATAAATGAGTGAGCACCAGTGTTTCATGTTTGTTGAAAAATTTCAATTTGTGTTCCATCAATTCCTAGAGCCTTGTTGTTTGCCAACACCTTTAGTGCACCTTGGACTTCTTTCAGTACCACTGGCTCTTGATCACATGCTAGCAGCCTCTTGAAATGACTGAACATCAACCAATTCTTTTTGTACAGTGACTCTGCAAATTCCTTCCATCTTCTTTCGGTGCTTTCTGCATCATTCAGTGTACCCATGGAATCCTTCACTAATGCAACTCGAGGCTTGAATTTTCTTTTCAGTTCCCTCATCTTTAGAATGTTCTTCCCTTTTGGTTTTCTAACTGCAGATCTTTACATATTTCATTATAATATTTGTTCTCAAGCTGCCTTTTGAAATTTTCTATTCAACTATTTTACCTCCCCATTACTTCCATTTGGTTTAGCATCTCAACACTGGAAAGCAAGTTTCAGTCTCTTCTGACATCCATTTTGGTCTTTTCTTTCTTCTCTGTCTTCTTAAGGACCTTTTACTTTCTTCCTGTATGATGTTCTTGATGTCATCCACAACTCTTTTGGTTTTTGGTCATCAGTGTCTAATGCATCAAGTCTGTTTTGGAGATGATCTCTAAATTCAGGTGGGATATGTTTAAGGTCGATTTTGGCTCTCGTGTTGTTGTTAAGTGTCATCAAGTCAGTTCTGACTCATAGTGACCCTGTATAGGGTTTCCGAGGAGCGACTGATGAGTTTGAACCACCAACCTTGCAGTTAAAACCAACCTATGGTCCAGTGACACACCAGGACTTGTGTTAATTTTCTTCAGCTTCACCCTGAACTTGCATATGAGCAATTGATGGGTCTATTCCAGTATCCCCCTGGTCTGGTTTTGGCTGATAATATAGAGCTCTTCCACAGCCTCTTTCTATACATGTAGTCCATCTAATTTCTGTATATTCCATCTGGTGAAGTCCATGTGTACAAATCGTCATTTACATTGTTTAAAAAAGGTATCTGCAATGAAAAATTCATTAGTCTTGCAAAATCCTACCATGCAATCTCCAGCATCATTTCTATCACCAAGGCCATATTTTCCAACAACCAATCCTTCCTCTTTGTTTCAACCAAGGTATTCCAATCACTAGTAATTATCAATACATCTAGATTGCATGTTTGATCAATTTCAAACCGAAGAAGTTGGTAGAATTCTTCAATTTCATCATCACTTGCTTTAGTGGTTGGTGCATAAATTTGAATAGCGGTATTAACTGGTCTTCCTTGTAGATGTACGGATATCATCTTATCACAGACAGCATTGTACTTCAAGATAGACCTTGAAATGTTCCTTTTGACGAGGAATGCACCATTCCTTTTCAATCTGTCATTTCCGGAATAGTTTAAAAAAAAAAATCTGACATAGATTGTCAGATGCAAAGCAACCAATCCATGTCAGCTCACTAGTACCAAGAATATCAATCTTTATGCATGCCACTTCATTTCTGACAACTTCCAATTTTCCTAGATTCACACTTGGTACATTCCATATTCCAATTATTAATGGAAGTTTATGGCCATTTCTCCTCATTTTTAATTTTGCCCCATCAGCAAATGAAGGTCCCAAAAGCTTTACTCCATTCATGTCATCAAGGCCAACTCTACTTTGAGGAGGCAACAGCTCTTTCCCAGTCACATCTTGAATGTCTTCCAACCTGAGGGCCTCATTATCCGGCACTGTATCTGACAATATTCTGGAGCTCTCCATCATGTTTCAATAGTCAATATTCTGGTGCTATCTAACAGGATTTTGACACTATTTATAAGGTTTTCGGTGGACTCCTGGTATGGTGCTATAGGATAAGCACTGGACCACGGGTCATTTGAATTGCAAGGTTGGTGGTTCAAACTTACCAGCTATTCTCAGAAACTCCATACAGGGTCACTGTGAGTTGGAACCAACTTGTTGGCACTTAACAACAACAAACATTCAGAAGCAGTCCTCCTCTCCTTATGAGTCTTAGTTTGGAAGCTCAGCTGGAACCTGTCCACCATGAGTGACCCTTCAGACATTCAAAATACTGTTGGCATAGCTTCCAGAATCACAGCAACACCCAAGAAAAAAATATATAAATATCTATCTACCTACATCTATTATCTATAATATGTATATGTGTGCTCTACAAAGCATAAAATGTTACCTGACAGAAAAATGCGCTAATCCCTGAACTAGACCACAAGCATCATGAAGCAGAGGCTGTGCCCATCTTATCACCTGTCTCCCCAAAGCATGGCAAACAGCCTACTACACAGGCTCAGAAAATGACTGCCGAGTAAGCACACTGAATAAAAGAATATGTCATCAGAGTAGGAAGGAATATATAGGGGAGAAAATTAAAATGCTGAAAAAATATCTGGAAAAAAGTAACTTTCACAATGTCACACGTTAGAAAAGCCAGAGGTTACTGTGTAAAAGGTCAAATGAATCTAACTAACCTAGTAGATTAAAAAGTTTTAACATGTATTCCTATTTGGAGCTCACTCTCCCCTCAATCAAGAAATTGCTTCTAATTCTCCTGTCAACCTTAGTAACTACATGCCCATGCCCAAAGAACATATACCACACATAGAATGCTTACCTGTAAGACCTGCTGAATGCTCCGGAGCCAAGAGACACAGTGCTGCTGGAAAATCTCTGTGGGGCTCTCCCCCACTAGCAGGGACAGCAGACACAAGCCCTCAAACCTTGTAAGAAAAAAGTACTATCAAATGGGTGAAGGCTTACTGCAGAGAAACCTACTTACTGTTCTTTTACTCTCACTGGACTATATGATGGTGACAATGGGTGGAGGGGGATACAGACAACCAATACCAATCCATTTCAGCTCACTACACTTCCTAGGGTACATCCCTTTGGAGAAACAATAAGGTTAAAAGACTTACCGAGTTTTGATAGAACCAAGACGTGTATTGCAGAGACCCACCAATGCCCCAAGTGCTGAAAGGTTCTGGAGGGAAGAAAACAGGGAAGTTAGTAAGATACTAAAGACACAGAGAATTTCTCCAAGTCTTTCCTGCCCCAGCAATTATGAGGTCTTTTCTGAGTCACATCTCCTCTAAGGTCAAAAGGCCATTCCTCTAGAGGGCCTCAGCCTTTGCTCCATTTTCTGTGGACACACACACAGCAACCTGTCCCTCAAATTATACTTTGCCTGGTCCTTTCCCTCATGCCCCAACCAACAGATGCTATATATACAGAGGACAGTCCTAATTCATCCCAGGTGCCAGATGTGAGAACTGGGCCTGTTTTAAAGCAACCAGCATAGAGTTGTCATCATTGTTGTTAGGTGCCATTGGGTCAGTTCCAACTCACAGCGACCCTGTATAGGGTTTCCGAGGCTTTCAAGGGAACAGAAAGTCTCATCTTTTTCCTGTAGAGCAACTAGCAGGCTTGAACCATGGACCTTGTGGTCTGCAGTCCAGTGCTTATCATTTGGAGTCATGCTTGCTAAATGGACAATGAACTCATCCGATATCATTCTCCCTTTACCCCAAACAAATCATCCTCCTCTGCCTGTTCCTGGCTTCCTTAGACCTGAGACAAATTCCAACATGAGCTAGTCAATCACGCTCTTCCTCCTAACTCTCCCCTTCTCTCACATTCTGAGAGCCCAAATACTTCTGTCTCACCACAGTCCCCTAAGTAACCTCTCTTACCCTTTGAACAGCCAGACTTCTCCTCATGGCACCTGCATCTCCCTAGTGATACTTACCATCTATTCTTTCAACAAAGAAACAGTTCATACATGGAACCGAAAGGCAATGTAATTTTTCCACAAACTTAATGAAGCCCCCTTGTATGTACTGAGCCAGGTAAAGGATTACAGGGCAAAATTAAACAAATAAGGTCATTGCTCTCATGGAGGGAAATGTTTATTCATTTTCCCCCCAAATGTGAGACACTGTTTTAGGTGCTGGGGAGCTTATAGTCCGTTAGAGGCAGTAGAAAATAAATGACCAGGTGAACATATACTACACGGGATGGCATGTACTACATTGGAGATAACTAAGCAGGAAGGAAAGAAGTGCCTGGAACAGGGAAGGGAGACAGTATTTTATGTAGAGTGACACAAAGGCCTTCTTTAAAATGGGGACATAAAAGCAGAGGCCTCAAGACAAGCAAGAGAGTAAGATATAATGATTGTGGTTGTTGTTAAGTGCCGCTGACTCATAGCGACCCTATATAGCAGGACTTGTTGTTGTTGTGTGCTGTGGAGTCGGTTCCGACTCACAGCAACCCTGTACAGGGTTTCCAAGGCTGTCAATCTTTACAGGAGCAGAAAGTCTCATCTTACTTCCGTGAACAGCTGGTAGTTTCGAACTGATGACCCTGAGGTTAGCAGCCTGATTCATAACCACTAGGCTACCAGAGATTGGGAAACCTTTTTTTCTGCCAAAATTTTTAACACCACTCATGGGCCATACAAAACTACTGACTTAAAAATTAGCCTGCAAGAACAAACAAGATGGCGGATCGGGTGGACGTATAGCAGAGAGCTCCGCCAACAACAGCACAGAATACCTGACCAAGCAGGCTCAAGGGATGGTCCCAGAACTCTGAACCACATATAA